GTTTGTATAGATGTAAGCTAAGAAAATTTACGAAAGTATGTATGATTAGCAAAACTTATAAAATTTATCTTTGATAAATTAACCTTTTTAAAAGTTAGGGTTTAGGTGAATGCTAATATTGTCCTTTTTTCATGTTAGGTTTAGTATAGTTTATAATTAGAATTTCTTAAAGAATTTCTTTTACGTACTATACATTTCATATTTGCTATACCGGTATACCGGTACTCTAATTTTTAAAAGAAATTCTTAAAAAGGTTTTATCTATAAGCTATACTAACCTTAACATGAAAAAAGGTAATATTAGAACCCTAATTATTAAAAAGAGATTACTTACATACTTTTGTAAAATTTTTTAGCTTACATCTATACAAACCACTGTATATATTACTTACATATAACTTTATACAATACATATTTCTGTAATATCCTGCATTATACATATAACTATACACTTTGTGATATTCACATATTACTCGTTTCCGATACAAACTATTTACAGTATTACATACTGATCTGGGATTTGTATACCATGAACGATGTAACAAGTTGGTGGTCCCATAAATATTTGCATTAATACTGAATTAAAACAAAAGGCTTATTATTCTGGTAAAAGTTGTGATGCTCAATCCTGGTTAATTAATTCTTAATTGGATTAAATTGATATTAAATATTTTATTATTTATTTGATAAAAATCATTAAGTTTATACCAATTCTGTCTTTAATAAACATAAAATATTTAGTAAATAATTATATAAAAAATATCAATTTTTTCTGTACATGATTTGATTAGTTTTCTAATATGCTTAATTTAAGTTGTGTAAAGTTTCCTAATGAGGATAATTATATATATAGACATAACGAGTCGAATTTTGCTAAAGGTGTAAATTTGATCATTGGTAAAGCTTTACTTTTTGTGCATTGGTTTATTCATTTATTGCATTTTATTGTATATAGAATGTTAAGTATAAAATGAAATGTGTTTTCTACGAATGGAAAATGGTTCGCAATTTCGTAAATCTTCTAACCATGAATAGACATTCATTTAATATTTTCCTGGTTCTTGTCGTTCTTTTTTTTGGAACTATCAATGCCAAGCATAAACATTATCACAAACCTGCCAAAATATGTACTAATACTACTAATACCTTAATATCTACTCCCACTCCTGGCCCTGAAGACATATGTTGTGGTTCTGGTGGTCCTGCACGAAACGGGCATTATTCTTCTGCTGGCGAATTATATAAGACGATACCACCAACAACACCTGAAGATTGTTGTAGAGCATGTTATAAAGATTCTATATGTGATAGTTATGAATTCATCATTGCTGTTGATTATGATGGTAATGTTGCTAAGGCAGTTTGTAATTTCTATAAGGGAAGCGATTGCAATCTAGGTTGGGTTACCTCCACTGATGCTGTTGAATATGGAGTTGTAAATTGTGGTTTTTGTAGAGCATAGTTTTTAGGAGAGTTTACGTATAAGGGTATAAGGGTCCGAAAATGAAAATAATTATAAGGGCCTAAATTCTGAAAAATTTTACAATTAAGGGCCAAAATAACTTTTCATTATGATAGTAGTTCTTTGAATATTATCACTGTGCATATATATATTTATATATTACTTTAATATATTTTATATTATATCCGTTCGTTTTACGAAACTTTCTTTTAACTAAGATATGGTTCGATTAGCACGATATTTATCATAATGCATATTTTGTTCTGATTTAATATGTCTATCCTATATCAAAACTAGTAAACCATAATTTGTGAAAAGATAATATGCGTTAATAGAAGATATTTAGAACCACAAAAACTCATTTAGATTCATAAAGTTAAATTACTTTCAAAATTTGGCAAAAGTGTAGTTATAATATTTATCGTGCTTTTCAAATTATTGTGATCATGTATCACACCGCGAATCCAGGAATCTAGAAAAAATGCCAGTATGTGATTGGCTAAAAATCAATCAAATAATTTTTAGCCAATCATATATTGGCATTTTTTCCAGATTCCTGTGATACATGATCATAGTAATTTGAAAAGCAAGATAAATGCAAGCGTTAGTTAGCAATACAGATACTGTTCACTTCACTGACAATCAATTCACTAAAGTACGATTCACCGACAAGTTTATTTCACTGACGGTACGATTCACCGACAGCACGCTTCATTAAAAGTTTATTTCAAGTTTATTTCACCGACAGTACGATTCACCGCAAGTTTATTTTACCGACAATACGATTCACTGACAGTTTAATTTTAATAGCATTTATCCTTATACATTACTTTCAACTTATTAAATTAAATATGTCTTATCCATAATTGTAAGTTGTTTTTCGTTATGGTAATGAATTCAATCTCGAATGCTTAATTAAATAAGATTTTTTTTTGGATATCAGGTTTAAATTATATTGCGTCAAAATATTAATGTATTATTTTATTTATATCTAACTTTAAAATGTATAAAAAGTGTATTATTCTTGTAAATTAAAATTTCAACTTATTATAGTTTATAAAGATAATATGAAAATAAACACGAATTTTAAAAGTATGAATCGAGAAAATAATTGAATTTCATACCAATCTACATTGAATTAAATACAAATATTTTAATCCAAAAGGTAAGCATTATATATATGCGTACAATGTAAAGAACTAATTTTACATAGAGATGAGAACTATAACTATAGGTTATATATAAAATAGTTATAGTTCACATCTCTACTTTTACAAACCTGATTTGAAAGATTATGCCATTAGAAACAACAAAAGATTTCTTTAAAAAAGATAATTATTTGCAAGAAAATATAACTTTAGAAAATGAAACTTATTGTTTTCAAAATAATCATGTATATGTTGTATATGAAAATGATAAAGTTTCTCATTGTAATTGGAGCCTTTATATATTTCATTCAACACGTGGATATACTGCTACCTGCATAGGGCAAAGAATTTTGTTGTCTTCGGTAGTTGTAAGAAATGTGTATCGACAGGCTAAAACTCAGAATTCTAAAATAGTGCATTATAAATTTATGATAATTTATTTTAGAATTCTGGGACTTCATTTGACAACATTCAAATATTCTTGATAATTTGATAAATCTAATACTGTTATACTTTAAGGACTAGTAATCATATGCTATCATACAATTCAAGTTTGTACTGATCTCACAGAAACAATTTCTCCTATTAGAAATGATAAATTTCTTGAAGGAGATTTCAAACCAATATTAAGTGATATCAAACCACCAATATTTGCTGAACTAATAAACAAAAAATAAATACTGATGAAGATGCTAAATTAGTACTAAATAAATTTGCTAAACAACTGATGAAAAATCGATACAAAAAAACCAAAGATTCTTTGTCAAACTTTATTTTTTCCTTTATTATAAGTAATTGTAAATTTAAATATTTTATTGATAAAATTCGAGAAACACAAGAATTAGTTATGCACCATTCTAATCTTCATTTGTAAAGACTTTCTTCCTAAGTTTCAGGATGATAAACTTAAAATATCACAAAATTCACGTGATAAACTCGAATTATTAAAGCTGGTTCCAACCTCTAGATTATTTAAATAATTTACTAAAAAATAAATTATGTAAAAAAGACTGTTTGAATAGATAACATCCCATATTAGAATATTGCAAAGGTGGCAGTTTCAAATTTAGAATTATTAAAAATTTAAAAATTATGAATATAAGCTTACTGTATATATAATAATTTAAAAAAATTCTAAAATCAAGAAATTTTATTTTAAAGATCTTTTAAATAATAATAAAAAGGAAACTGTTAATGCCACCCCACTTTTGTTAACGCTACCCTATATAACTCTAACTGGCTTTAACCCTTCCGGAAATTCTATAAATAGTGCCAACAGTACCTACTCTAACTGTTATATAACTAGTCAATAATATGAATTTGTACTATTTCTAACTACTGTCTGTAGAACAGAGATAGTAAATGACCTGAAATGACCCAAATGACAAATGACTAGTCATTTGTCATTCAAGGCCCAAATGACCTTAGAAGGTCATTTAACATATGTTGTTAATATTCTAATGCCTTTTAACCAATCAGAATTGGCCGCCAAACAAAATTATTTATAAAAATATAATCAATAATCGTAGCTATGTATCAAAATCAAAATTTACTAAGTCAAATTAATATTTATGCCTTAAGTAAAGTTGTTCGGAATAATAAATTGCATATGTTTTGACTTTTTATTAATTTACTTCCGCATTTCACGTTTATATGAAAAAATTTTAATTTTTCATGTAAGTAATATACGAAAGTAAATTGATAAAAAGGTATTAAATTTACATGAAAATTTCAAAATACATGCAATTTATTATCCCGAACAACTTTATTTAAGAATAACATTAATTGACTTAGTAAAACTTTAATGTTAATATATAGCTGTGATTATCGATTAGAAAAATAATAAAATTCGATAACTTTTTATATGAGCAATTCAACCAGTAAAATTACTTTATATGCAAATGACCCAAATGACCTTAATGACTGGTCATTATTTGATGACTTGGGTCATTTAAATTTTGACCAAATGACCTGGTCATTTACCATCCCTGCTGTAGAATGGTCAAGATTTGAGCCGGTTGGAGTTATATAGGAATGGCATTAACTGTTCTTTAATGAAAAATACAAATGGTTTATATATTAAGAATAACTGTTTAATTTATTAAAAGATCGATATTTATAATAATCTTGAAAAAGAAAAAGTACAAATATGAAACTAAATAAAAAAACTACAAAACATTTATGCTAAGTTTAGAAAAAAACTGATGTTTGAAATAAATTGGTAAAATTGTAATAATATTTGTTTTAGAAACATATGTAAGTAAAACATATAATTATTATAGTTATATTAGAAATAATTTAAAAAATAAAAAATAGGTATGAACTTAAATTAAAATAGTATTTGAGAAATTTTCTTGATAAAGCTATAATTATGTAAAAATAATTGCGCCAATTGATTAAAAATATAGTTAAATCTTTTAGTTATATAGATAATCAATTTAATCCATCCTATAAATTCTTCTTAACACTCTATACAATTAAAATTATTACTATAGTAAACAACAATAAACTATTACCACAATTCACATTAAAATAATATAATTTATACTTACTCTAATGATTTATTTTTTTTAAAAAATAAGAGTCTATATCATCTTAATGAAAATTATCTAAAGTATTTTTATTAAAATATTAGTTTATTAATAAAATTTAAATTTATAAAATAATTATTTACTCACCGGCTAATAATTTAATTTATTTGATTAAAGAATTTTATTAAATTATAGTTGACATTTTAATTTACGAAATATTTCTTTACTCACCAACTAATGATTTATTTATATGGTTAGAGAAAGTTATAAAATTTTCAATTTATAAATAATTCTATACTCACCAACTATATATTGGATAATAGAAAAGTTTTATTTAATTAGGTATAAAATTTCAATTTATAAAATAATTTTGTACTTACGCGCTAATGATTTAATAGAAGTTTTATTTAAATTATTATAGGTTATATTAAGTGTTCAATTTACAAAAGAATTCCGTACTTACGAGCTAATGATTTAATTGATTAGAGAAGTTTTATTTTAATTGTAAAAATTTAAATTCGTAAAATAATTCGGTACTTACGAGCTAATGATACAATTGATTAGAGAATAGATAATTAAAATTCAATTACAAAATAATTCTGCACTCACCAACTAAAGGATTCAATAGAAAAGTTTATTTAATTATAGATTATAAAATTTTAAATTTATGATAATTCTGTACTTACGGACTATGATTTATTTATATATAGTTCATTAAAAGTTTTATCGTATGTTATAAATCTCAATTTGTAAAATAATTTTTTACTTACTTGCTAATGATTAAATTTCGATTAGAGTCTTGTAGGTTATTAAATTTCAATTTAGGAAATAACTCCATACTTACCACCTATTTAATTCATGTAATCGATTAGAGTTTTTTTGTCTAATTGTAATAATAAAATTTCAATTCATAAAATATTTTTGTACTTACGCGCTAATGATTTATTTATATATTTAGTCGATTAGAGAAATTTTTGTTAAATTACATAAGTTATCAATTTACAAAATAATTTTATATACTCACCAACTAATAATTTAATGGCTAAGTTTATTTGTAGATTATATAAAATTCAATTTACAAAATAATTCTGTACTTACTTGCTATTTAATAAGAAGCGTTTTATAAATTATAGTTCATAAAATTTCGATTTTATCAAATAATTCTGTACTCACCAACTAATGATTTATTTATATATTGATTAGAGTTTATTTAATTATGTATAACATTTTAGTTTACAAAATAATTAGTACTCACAAGCTAATGGTTTAATTCATATATATCCATTAGAAGTTTGATTTAATAATTATTTTCAATTTACCAAATAATTTTGTACTCACGGACTAATAATTTATTTAATATGATCGATTGGAGAATTCTTATTAATTGTAGGTTATAAATTTCAATTTGGAAATACTTTCGTACTTACCACCTAATTTGTGTGATCGATCCGAAAATTTTTATTTTAATTGTTAGGTTATAAATTTTCAATTTAGAGAATAATTCTATACTCACGAGCTAATGATTTGATTCATAATTAATAGTTTAATTATAGGTAATAAATTTTCAATTTACAATAACTTTGTACTTACCACCTAATTGTGTGATTGATTAAAGAGGTTTTATTTAATTGCAAGACTAAATTTCAATTTACCAAATAGTTCCGTACTTACTGACTAGTTGTTTAATTCAAGTGATTGATTAGAGAAATCTTATTTAATAAAATTTCAATTTAGAAAATAATTCTGTACTCACCGTCTAATTTAAAAGTTTTATTTATTTATAGGTTATAAATTTCGATTTAATAAAACAATCATTACTCACCTAATGATAAAAGATTATTTTATTATAAATTTTAATAAAAATTTCTTTGCGTACATCAGTTTCGATCACATACGTACGTACGTACGTCAATAAAATTGATGTACGTGATGTTACACAAAACTGATGCACAATTTATAGAGTATAATTAGTACGTATATACCTTCTAATAAATATACAGTATAATAATTATTTTATTTTATTATAAATTTAAATTTTCAAAATTTGAATTGTTTAAAAACTTTATTTTCAGATTAACTTTTACTCACATCACTAATAATTTTACCAATTCAATGTATAGGTGTAATTTATTAATTACTATATACATAGATTATAGAAATTTCATTTAGAAATAATATTGTACTCACAAGCTAAAAATTTTATTTCATAATTGTTAGTGAAATTTTATTTAATAATAAATTGCTAATTTCAATTTAATCATACTTGTGCTTTCCACGGTTGAGAAGAAGATAATTGTTATGACTGCGACTAATGTTAAAAAGAGTTTAAAATTCATTTTGAAGCAGATTAATAATCTTTAGTAGTTTGAAAAAAAGATATCGTTCTTTTAGAAAATCGTAGAGTTAAATAGAATTTATCTGGTTTGGATCGAGTTAATGTATTTTTATTGTACGTATTTATTATCTGCTATAGTGAAGATTAATTCGGCTAAATTTTTTATAAATAAAGAATGTACAATAATCTAATTGATAATACTTTAATAGTTTAAAAAAAGACATCATTCTTTTAATAGAGTTAAGTAAAATTTAAATTTTATTCATAATAAAGAATACGTATCAGATATATGGCTATAAATAAACTAGGAACTGAAAACCGGTTTAAGCCCAAGCTCATGATTAAAACATATTACACAAACGCGTAAGCATGCGTATTTTTTTTTACACAATACAACTATAGATACGTGGCGTTACAGCGAAACTTTTTTAATTCTCCGGACAACAATTAAGGGTATGTAGATCATTTTTCATGATTTTGGTGTTACAGTAATAAAGCTCGCGCTAACGCAGTAAGCCTTACTTGATAAGTTAGGTAATTTCCGGATAGGAAAAAAAACAATTGCATTTATTTAATATGCTAAACAAAGGTGAAGATTTCTTGAACAAATTAATGATATTAATATTAGTGCAGTAAATATCTTATGAATATTCAAGAACAATGGCACAATGGGCGCAGAATTTTTGAATTAAAAAAACGCTAAACATGTAAGGGGCAGTGCATTATATAGCATATAATACGTATTATATATAGAAGGCGTGGGATTTAATTATATAAGCTCTTCTAAAAAAGCGAATGTCATTTTCCATCA